AGAAAAATAAATTATTAAAAATTCACAAAAAATTACAAATTATTCATGACATAAAATTAATAACTGTAAACAATCCTACTTTGACAGTTCTCATTACAGTTTGTTGTTGCTGCTTAGTTCAAATTAGCTGTTTACATAAATGCAAAAATAATTATAGTGCTGCACCCTGTTGGTAAATCTTATAACTTTTTAATCTTTTGTATGTCATAGAACCAACTTTTTTTAGTTGAAACAGCTGACTAAATGCTTTAATTCCCTTTAAATATGAATACTCATAAGGTTAACATGGAGAACTGCAGAGCCACTGGGGCGGAGCCCGAAAGGATTTTTGAGATAATAATATACCTATATGTTAATCGGGAATGTAAGCTATCATCATGCCAAATTTCAGCCCAATCCGTCCAGTGGTTTATGCGTGATTGAACTTCAAACAAACAAACAAACAAACAAACAAACAAACAAACACACAAACTTTCACATTTATAATATTAGTAAGATAAGATAAGATAAGATAACCCTTGGGTTTAGAGAAAGATAGTAAATACAAAAAATGTGTATTTTTAGATGGACTACATTTTGTATATTTAGCTTTTTCCTGTAGGCCTATCTCTAATAATAAAGTCACTAAATCGAAAAATACAAAAATATGCCGCCATTTTCCAACATGGTGGCCGTAGCACAGCTTCAATTTTAGGGGACTTTTAGTATGTTCAAAAGGAAGGTACGCCCAACATCAGTACCAAATTCCCCAGTTGTGCTAATTTTTTTAGGTTTATGGAATTTTTCTCTTATTTTTACTGCACTACTATATGGACCAGCTGTGGCCAATTTTTTACTAAAAAAGAATGTAGTTGTGTGAGCCAGTCACAGAATGCGCTAGTGTCTACAATTCTATTTTATACCTTATTTTTTTGTTGATGACCAGGTTGATGGGTCATAACAGTATCTATAACTCATCATAAGTCATTCACTAAGTTTGACTTGGTTAAAAAGATTGTGTATTCGGCAGAATTTAGTAATTTAGATCAGCGCAATCTGTAGGTGGCTCACATCAACTACGACAATTTTGATAAAAATGCTGGCTACAAATTTAACTAGGGATAGAATGTCTAAATACAGTAGGACCTCAATATCTCGAATCTGAAGGGGTTATGATAAAAATTCGAGTTATCAAGTTTTTCAAGTTAGTGAGGTTCGAGTTATGAAGGTTCCATTTGAAAAAGTTCGAGATACTGAGGTGTTGGGGTCTGACAGTTGATGTTAGTCACGGCCTTTATAACTCGACTTATGAGTGAAAATTTAAAAACGTACGTTTTCAGGAAAAGCACTTTGCAAATTTTTTTCCCCTTTTTTCAAAACTTTTATTATTTTTTTTATTTTATTAACATTTGAAGTTTCATAAAATGTCCATGGTAACGCAATATCTTTGGTAGTTTTTATTTTAAAGAGCATCTTTAGTGGAAAAACACAAAATCCTGTCACGACCATAACGGACGTTTAAATGAATATTAAAAATGGTTAATATTATTTTTATAACTATGTTTTGCTATAAACTAATTTACTTTTATGACCATTATACAATAAAAAGGTCACTGAGCTTTTGGCATATTTGGTCTTTCTATAAAAAAATAAAAAAACTCAAAAAATTGAAAATAAGCCAATAAAATCTTTTTAAGTTTGTATAACTCCAAAAAAACTTACCTGAGACCCGAAAAATGATTATGTTTGTATAGAGGTGTGCTTTTTTTGTGTATAAAACTTTGAAATATGACGATATTTTAATTTTTGAAATTTTTATGATACAAATCATAAACGTGATGGTCAGGGACAAGTGGTACGGTCGTGAATTGTCTGGAATAATCTAAATCTTTCTAAACAATCCTTCAATTATACTGTTAGTTATAATAAAAATATGTGTTTCAATTGAACTAAACTGTCCAATTTACAATTATATTAAAGTTATTGTCACGACCAAACACACTATAATCCATAAGGCCGGATTGGTCGTGAAAAAACCCGCGATGGTCGTGAAACTTTGGTCGTGAAATTACGTGTTATTTGGCTGTGTTCTGGCGGTAGCCCTGCACCTCATGTTCGAGGATACAAAGTGGACTTCTAGGTTAATCTAGCAATTGAAATATCTAATAAACAAAAAATAACACCATGTCTACTACATCGAATGACTACGTACGGTCATGGACACACCAAAATTACAAAAAACACAATCTTTCCTTAATTAATCTTGTAATTCCTCCTTTCAACTCGAAACGACCGGCACTACAATCCTGACATACACCCCGAACTAGTCTCTAAAATCAACTAAATCCATCGACGCCAGGCTTGCCACTGTCGTGCTCCAAAGTTGAAAATTTTTCCCAAATGGTCGTGACGCCAAATCGAGGGACAGACTTATTTTGTCATGGTAGTCAGTTTGCAATGCCAATAAAATTATAATATGCCCCTTTTATGTAAATTTAATAATCATTGATGACATAAAAATATGGCTTTATATATTTCGGCATGAATAATTAGTCTAAAAACAGCGTGAAAGTTGGAAAATGTGCCCTAGGGACACGTCATGGTCGTGAATTTCGAGACTTTAAAAATACGAAAAAAATACCTAGAACCTATTTAAAACCAAATAAATGTGTGTAACATGTTGCCCCCGTCCCAAAAAATATTAAAACACATAATAATAAACTACAAATCCAGTATCTACGAAGTAAAAGGCCAGGGACATGAAAACGTACGTTTTTAAATTTTCACTCTTATACGTGTTGAATGTTGACTTATACCTTTATAATCAAACTCTAACTGTATTTATACGTACTGAGGAGTAACTTTGGAAGCAAAATAAAACTATTTGAATACACATAAAGTAGGCTTACTGTATTTATTATTTTGCAATAAGTTTGATAAAGTACATAAAAAAACATGTTAATGACAAAAAAAATAGTTTAAATACTGTACAAAACAATAATACAGTATATATCATCCATACACGGAACTACATTTACTGTGTACAATGTTTGTTTAAAGCAAACGTTAGTCAAACTCTTTATATGTACTGTAAAAACAATCTACTGTAACAACAGAAATACTGAATAGGTACAATACTGTACATACAAAAATTATTTAGACTGTAGAGAGTAATATTTAAAGGGAAAATTCTGGTGTGATTGAAATACTAAACAAAATGCATTGTAATGTAGTTATTTACTGAATCTACTTTGGCAAAACGGTCAAACTACACTGACTACATCAGTGCCTAGCCAAACAGACACGGGAAGCAAACACAGGAAGTTCGATTTTCACGTCTCGACAGGAATCAAGACACAACTGACTTGCACTGTTAAGGCAAAACTTCGAATAATTGAGGCACATTCATGCAAACTTCGACTTATAAAGGTAAACTTCGAGTTAGTGAGGCTCGATGACGGGAAAATTCGAGTTATAGAGCTTTTGAAGTGGTTCAAAAGTTGTTAAAATTCGACTTATTGAGGTTAAATATTTAGAAACTTCGACTTGTAAAGGTACTTTAAACATTATAATTAATGTGGATTTCAAGGGGATTAAAAAAAATCGAGATATTGAGGTTCGAGTAATTGAGGTTCTACTGTATACAAATAAATGTTAAAAACCTATGCACACGGTTAATTAAATGTTACTAAAATTACTGATTAATGATGAAATAACCGAATTATCATATTTACAAAACCATACTGAACAAGAAATCATTTGACAAATTCATTTACAGTAACTACTTAATTAGTTTCACAATGTTTGATTCCTGTGTTATTTATTTAAATTCCTGGGATAATTAAAGTACACTTTAATAGTACAGTATGTCCAATAAAAGAGATACTTAAATTGTGTTGTGTTCAGAAATACTTGGCCGCAGCCCAGTGCTATGTTGAAACTATTTTTTATAGACTGTCTGTATAGAATGATTCCTATCAAAATTACAAAACAGACTACATTTTACACAGTCAGCGAATTGACAAACCACCATCACTAAACAAAAAATGACACACATTTTGGTTGCAGTTTCCTGATACTGATATAAAGGCAATCATTTTTTAATTCTCATAATCTATCTCACAAATTGAGACATGTAGAAACTTCCCATATGAAAATTAATTAAGGCAAAAATAAGTTTACGTACTTCCCCGCCCCTTGCTACTCACTCAGACTTATTCTGGTGCTTCCCTGTCTGTTCAGGAAATTGAAAACTATGAGTCCGGATAAAAAAAAACCTTTTAGATCTTTGATAGCTTCTCGCGACTCACTAAAAACGCTCCTGCAACCCACCGTGGGGTCAAACCCATAGTTTGGAACCGCTGCCCTAAGCCAGTGGCGGATTACCCACTAGGCACGATACACAACCACCTAGGGGCAGACAGAAAAATTAAAAATAAAATTGTAAAATTAGTTTGAAAAAGCTTAAAAAACAAACAAATTTAAAGCCAGTATCCCCCTGATCTCCCGGTCGATCTTGCTACCACAGTTACAAGTCTGAAATGACGCCCATGGGGGTGGGGGTGGCCCAAGTTTACATGTGCTGAGGTCATAATACACCACTGCCCTAAGCCACTTTAGCAAATTTTCTACGTCTAAACACGTTGCATCTATTGTATGTAGTTAAGGAATTATGATAGGGGTTGACCCCTAATACACAAAAACGTAACCACAGAACAGAATGAATTAATCCATGTTTGGTGAGAGGTAAATTTTTTCTCTGTATATTTTTATCTACAATTACAGAACTGTATGTTACATAGGGGTGGCAGGTTAGCTGGAATAAATGAATGAAGTGAAGTGACCTTAATTTACAATGAAAATACAATAGCCCAACTATTTTCCATGGTTTTAGATTTTTTAAATTTTTATGAACAAGATTATTCATTTAATTACTCCTGTATGTTTATAGACTTGCTTACTCTGTTGATTTATCCTTGTGATGACCTTGAAAGTTTATGTTGCCAATATTTTTGTTCCAGATTGAATATGGAAATGCCATATCGGGGTGATGAACTCCAAACCCATCATTGGTATGTTTTTCCGTGATTAGTAAATGATATGCAAATATGAGTAAGAACATAAACTGGGGTAAAGACATTCACCCCAACTCTTCTTATAATTCAACCAAACATATAGCGGAGATTGGCTTAAACAGTGGCAAAAATTTATATATCTGCCTGATATGCAACAAATCTTTAGATGGAGATGAATCTATATTTTCTTCAAACCATGATCTTTGTTCAAGCCATAAAGAACATCTCAAAACCTTGTTTTACAAGTGTATACCTAGTAATGTTGATGTTAACAGAAATGAAAAATTTGCAAAGCTTATCACAAACTCCATGTTTGATATATCTATTTGTCTTTCTGATCAAACTAGCAGTCTCTTACACCGCTATGAGAACCACATTGTTTGTATGTTTTGTCAAGATATTGTCTGCTATTGCCAAGATGATACTGTGAAAGATGATATCATCAACCACCTCCAGAGTGACAGTCATATAAACAATGTCAAAAACAATGCAACATGGGTTTATCAGCTAGAGACCAGTTCAGGATTTTTAATGCTTCATAAGACTGTGACATTTTGCTCAATTTGTGATAAACTGTTATACGCTCAGGAAAATGATACCTTGCATAGTGCTGTAGACCATCTGTTAACTGAACATCAAACTGAGCTGAACAAAAGCGAATCAGATCCTTGCAGTATTATTGATGATTCTGATGAGTTTGAATCGTCACGACAGAATGATTCAGAAAGTAGTTCTAGTGTTTGTCCTATTTATGATTCATGGGAAGAAATACTACTTAATGAGGAAACATCTCAGGAATCATATTCAATACACAAAAAATCTAATAATGTTACCAAAAAAGAACACAGTTTTCAAAATGAACTTGAAGATCAGGACACAAGGATGGAACTTGCGAAGACTGGTTCCGAGTGTGCTTCTAACTTGGAGAAGATACCACACCGTGTGGTACAGTGTGCCAGAGAACATCTTGTAACGCTTGACAATGATGAATTTGAATTGGTTTGTCCTGAATGTAAAGAGACTGTGGAAATGTATAATGATGACCCTGAATTGTCAATGGACTTGCATTCTGAGAAACACAAAGATATTTCGGAAATCAACAATCTCTTCAACACAAATTTAGCTTTTTATAACAATTCTGAGTATCCCTGTCCATCATGTCAAGAAAACGTACATATATTCAATAAGAACATTCAGCTTTCATTAAGTCTTCATGTGTGTAATGGTGATAAACATTTGTCCAATCGTTGTGAAAATTTTATAAATTACAATGCATCAACTGTATTTGATCACTTGCCAGATTTTCTCCGAGTTCACCGTGGTTTCTTTCAACTAGACAGAACAAATTTTCGTTGTACATTGTGTAACTGCACATTTGACTTACCTAGTAGTTTGGATAAAGCTCGTGAAGATGTGTTGATGCACTTAACAGACCAGTACCACAACAAGCAGTTTCAATTGCTTTCTCAAGACCCATGGAATTTGTTGAGTAAAGATAATAAACTTGATAATGTATTGTTACTGGAGTCAGTTATAGAAGAAAACAAACAATATGTTGAAAAATGTGAACGGTACTATTTTTGTAAAGCTTGTAAATGTTGCTTTTTGACATTTGGGAATGATCAGGAAATGATGCAATTATTTGCAATGCATTGTTTATGCAAAAACCATAAGAAAAAGTTTAAAAGATATATTGAGGAAAGGAACTGGGAAGATAAGAAATATGAACAAGAAAATAATGATACAGGAAACAATGAGTCGTATGAACACACTTCACCAGCAACACAGACAAATAATGATAAAGATTTCTTCAAAAGATTTTATAACCTTCCGGCGTACCAATTAAACTCACTGTTTTTAGTTTTAGAGGGAAACTCAGTGCGTTGCAAACTTTGTAAAATATCCATTTCCTGTTCGCAAATAAATCAAGTAAGAAAACACTGTTACTCAGAATCTCACAGCATGATTTTAGTTCAAAGTGCATCAAACTATATAGCAAGACATGAAAATAAACACTTTGTAAATACTTCAGATCCTCGCAATAGTAAGTTTATAAACGCTGTGAAGAAACTTTCAATATCAAACTACAGAATCAATGATCACACTGTAACACCACATTTGTTGTTCATAGACAATGATGGCAATAACTTTGTGTGCCTTATCTGTAACACAAGAATAGCATTTTCTGTTGACTGTTCATATTTGCTGAAACATTTTACCACTAAAGGACACAAACTCAAAATATTCAATTTGTCCTTAGATGTTGCTGAAATAGGCTTAAAACTAAATGAGCTTGATAGTCATGTTTCTAGTAACAATTTTTGTGTTAAAGAAAATGATTTTTTTGGAAAACCAAATGAAACTGATAACATTGATGACGTGTCAAGATTGTTTGAAAAGCTGCCAAGTGAACATAGCATTTACAAAGATTTTATAAAAAAAGATGGCAGAAATCTGACTTGTCTTCTCTGTGGTTGTTCATTACTGTCCAGGCAAACATTTGAAGAAGATTTAAAACGCTTACAGGATCATTTTTCAAACAGTTTACATAGAGAACAGTATAAACTATATACAGCTGGACCCATTTCTAATGACAAGAGTGTGAATCAAGATCCGTGGGAAAAGTTTAATGACTGTAGTAATGTTGAATTACTTGCAGAAAGAAGATGCATCCTAAATAGTAATTCACAGCATCTTAAAAAGGAAAACTGCTATTTCATGTGCTGTATATGTGATGAATATTTTGTGTTTTTTGATGAGGAAGATATGAAAAATACTTTTGCTAGTCATTGTTTAACAACAGCACACTCAAGAAAACTAAAAAAGAAACAAAATAAATCAAAAAAGAATAACTGTATAAGATTAAGTGAAAGCAAAACGCTGCAACTAAATGCTCAGTCCATTGCAAATCACCCAGAAGATTGTCACATTAGCAAGGATCTTGAACCAATCTCTGGAAGTTGGGTGAGAAAGTCTTTAATGACAACAATGAATAGGTATTATCTGTTTAAAAAAGATGACCTCTTTTATTGTGGTATTTGCCAAGAAGTATTAGCAATTAATGTGCAACAATTAAAAAATCATTGCTATTCAGCTGTTCATAACGTAAATTTGACCACATTAGCTATTGCATTTTCTGAAGGGCTCAATGAAAAAAACACCTGGCAAAATACAAATTCATCACAAGTAAAGATTTTAAATGTGATGAAAATGTTGGCTAAAAGGTCATACAAAAACAGTAACTTTGGAGTAGGAAATTTGTTCTTTTTGAAGGACAAAAACAATAAATTGTTCTGTTGTCTTTGTAATAAAAGAGTTCCAATTTCTACTAGTGGGTGTTATGTAATAGACCATTTTATAAAAAAAGAGCATTCAATGAATGTTTTGAAGTTATGCTGCATTTATAGTTCTCCACTTCAGTGTGAAACCTTATCAAGTGAAAAGGTAAGAAACATTGTACCAGCTTATGATTCAAACTTGGCTATTTCAAGCGAAGATTTGGGCAGTCAGATTCTGAATAATGAAGAAATCAGTTCACAGACTATCGATTCACACCCATGTCAAAACCCAGAAATAAAAATATCGGGGTTTGAAGATGAAATTGAAGGACAATGTGGACGCCAAAGCACATTAGAATTTGTAAACAGCAATCTCAAGGCACATAGAACCTCTGTTTTGAACACAAGCTCAGATTTACTTTTGAATGAAGACGTTATGTTATCTAAGAGATCAGCACATGAGGATATGGAAGAAAAATCGTGTGGACAGTGTTTGAGTGAAGCTGGCCTGGATTCTGTTCCATCTGAGGATGAAGTAACACATTTGATAATTGATAAAGCTTTTGATGTCAAAACAAATTTAACTACTATGAATGTCATCAATGCAGATGCTTCTCCTAAAAGGGACAATGATGATGAAGACTATTATTACTGCCCGCATTGCAAAAGTATTAAAACCAGTAGGCCTATTGGTGATGGCACCAAAGGTCCATGTGAAAAACAAGTGTTTGACGTAGCTCACAATGTTTATCCATGTGACAACCATTTCATGGAAAATATTTATGATTGCCTACCATCTTATCTCCAGAGATGTAAGGAAATAGTTTCTTTACAAAGCAGTACTCTCTATTGTAGTATGTGTCAGATGTTCATTGAAATTAATAGAAAAAATGCATTTGAATCTGCTGTTCAGCTGTATTTTCATTTATCGTTAAGATTCCATCATGATTGTGTGAAATCGTACTCTAGGAAAATAAATCTAAAACCACCCCAAAACTTTGCTGAAAAAAATGCCACTATGTATTCTGGGCCATTATCTTCACCTTGTCAAGCATTGACTTATGAGCAAAACAATCATATATCTGAGTATGCAATTGGGGAGGATGAATATATTGAAGATAACATTCAAGTTTCAAGCAATGACATGTCTCCTGCAACTAATTCAATGCCTTCATTTATGTGTTGTGATACCTGGGTTACTGGAGAGAAACCCACCAGTCACAGTTTTACGCAAAATAACAATCCTACTGATCAAGAAGAATCCACAGCTGACAAGTCAAATGCCTGTAGAGACATGAATCACAATGAAGATTTGTCTGAAGAAGCTATCACGCCCAAAGATTTCTTGGTTTTAAGTGACCCAATCATGAAAGGTTCTAAATCGAAAATCGTGTCAGGGAATTTAGCAGTTCATGAAGAATTCTTGTCTAACAATAAAAATAGCGTTACTTGTGAACTATGCTCTCTTACTCTACTGCCAGAGAATGTTCTTGATCATTTAACGAGCTACACCCACAAGCGCATGTTTTTAGCTCGTCTCAAAAGAGTTCTCGGAGGCAATTTAAGCATTGAAATTAAATGTTTGATGTTTATAAGTAATCAACTGTTTTGCCAATCCTGCAGTTGCTACATTTACCCTTGGGATACCTTTGATACTATCTGTCAAGGAGTAGTCAGTCATCTGAAGACTCATGAGTCATGTTGTGAAAGCTTCCCTGTATCAAACCCAAGTGATCAACACACTGTGGACTCACAAAAAAACAAAGATACCTTGAATGATGTTGTACCCAGTCAGACTGTTACAAATCAGTTATCTACTTCAAAAAACAATTCAAATAATGGGGCTGAACAAACAAGCTTTGCTACTGGACAATGGCAACTGTCTTCAGTGAGTGATAATATTTTTGAAAGATTGGCTAGCGTAGTAAACAATCTTGAAGAAAACAAGGAATTCATCATTTTGCGGGGCTCTAATTACCATTGCAATCTGTGTAACAAAGGTATTACATTTTCTCCCAATGATCAAACTCTGGCAAAGAACTTCAAGAGTCATATATTCTCCAACCCTCATAGGCTTAATTTCAATGCAGCTAAAAAGAAAAAAGCTGTTAACACAGCCAACTCATCTCAACAAATGACTAGTAGTTTACAAAAAGATTTGCACGAGTTAAATGCTGAGAAACACATATTGTCTCTGAAATGTGAACAACATAGTGTCAATGAAGAAACAAAAATCTCTTCCCCATCAAGTTCTTCTTCGCAAAGATCCTCAATCATAGAAGAACTTGTACAGCGATTGAAAGGTCCAATCGTTTTGAAAATACACGAAAATCAAGAGTTTTTCAGTGTGTGTGGCACTAACTACCATTGCAATTTGTGTAACAAAGGTATATCATATTCTCCCAATGATCAAATTCAGGCATACAACTTCAATTATCATATTAAGTCTAGCACTCATAAGTTCAATTTAAACGTATTTAAAAAGCAAAGAAGGTGTTAAGTCATCCAAGATTAAACAAATGACTAATAGTTTACAAAAGGATTTGTATGTGTTGAATGCTAAGAAACAAAGATATTGTCTCTGTATTTCAAACAACATCTCAACAAACAAGAAACAAGATCTCTTAACCATCAAGTACCTCTTCAAAAAAACCCTTAATCCTAGAACTTCTGCAACGATTGAAAGGTCCAGTAGTTTGGAAAATACATGAAAATCATAAAAGGAAAAAAGGTGTTAAGGCATCCGACACTCAACACATGACATGCTATGAAGAATTAACGGTCTTCAGAATGCAAACAGCATAGCATCACAAAGGAAACAAGAATCTTTTCCACACATCAAGCTCAAGAAGAAATCCTCAATCATAAATGAACTTTTACAATGTTTGAAAGGTAGGCTACTGTCGTTAAATAATATGTTAAAACTGAATTGAATACCTTCACCTAAATACCTTCAATTAAATAAATCACCTTCGCTTATACCTTCACTGTCCTGGGCTGCAACTGCCATTACAATTTATGTAACAAAGGTATTTCATATCTATCCAATAATAATGCTCGGGTATACCACTTAAACACTCAAATTTCAGAATATAAGTACACATCAAAATTATTATAAAATCTCATATTTTAAAAAGCATATAAATGTAAACAAGTTGAGTTGCCATTTGAAATCAGCGCTCACACAAGGAGGAAATTTTTAAATGATTTAAATTTAAAGGATTGAGGAGAAAATATTTCTGTGAAATCAAACTAAATATGTTTTGAAACAATATCTTTGACACTTTATTTGTCTTATTTCAAACAATGTCCTTAATATTTGAATACGTCAAGTACTTGTGAAACCTTAAAGGAAATATTTTTCTAGATGTTTCCACCTAAATATATATTAGTATTCATTAATTAAAACAAGGTAACACCAGGGGTAGTAGGCTCATCTACATGTTTATATGATAATTATAATTGTTTAATTGTTAAAGAAACTGTACCACTGTGTCTCTTTATTGTAAGATAATTTAACAATTTAGGTGTAAAATGAAGTTCAAGTATGTTTTGTCGTAAAAAAATTTTGCAAGATGCTAATGTCTATCATTTTCACATTTAATGTCATACCAATCAAAAAATAGAACTTAGAAATAGACCTTCCATCAGTTCCATCCCCATGTAAAAATTCTCACCAGTGCTTAAATCATAATGGACTTGGTTGTACTGCACCACTGACAGAGTGCTCTTATGTAAATTACTGATTCCTTTTAATAGTTTTAAACTTTAAAGCAACACTGACTGGACTTATTTTGAGCTATGGCATCTTTGTATGTCATATCAACTAACTCAATAACAAAAGCTAAAGCATAACATAGTACTTACTTTTGCACACTCACTGTGTGGCTCATTGAAATAAGTTTATTTTTGGCTACAACTGGTTAATATATATAGGAAATGTCTACTTCAGCAACCAAAAAATCATTGGAAGAGGAGGACTATTTAAAGTAATTTAAGTTAAAAATACAGTTTTAATCAGGTGAGAACAATATAGACAATTGATTGTTTCATTAGATTTTTTACCTAAGTGTCTTATTTAAGGGTTAGAAAAATGTTGTCGAACACACAGCAAAATGGAGGCCTTTTAGGTTACATATAGGTGGATCTTATAAAATGGAAAAATATAAACCATCTTGAAAGGAAACGTATGAGACTATGCTGTTTCTTCTGTTACTAAAAATTAATGTGTATTCATTTTGGTAAATATTTATGTAAGTGTCAGTGCCTAAAGTATTATCCACTTATGTTTTCCAACTGTTTGCACTCAGTTCAATATTTATCATAATTTTAAAAACCATATAAGCTAGGTTCTAATTGGCATTTTGAGGATATTATTTAAATTTAATTTGGGAATATTGTGAAATTGTCTTTTGGTTGTTGATAAAGTTAATATAGCTGTACATTTTTGTTTATAAACTAGTAATGTTTTGTTTTTGTTTTTAGAATAATAATTTTGTGTTAAGGTTAATATTCAAATTATCTTAGTGTTGACTGACTTATTTGCTAAAAGAGAGTAAAGTTGGTACAGTAAGTTGTACTGATAACACAGTACATTTGGAGTGAGTTTGTACTGTTGTAAATTTGAAGTATTGGTGTAGGCCTATTCCACAGATGAAAAAAAACCAATGCTTGGCCTATTCAGTGTTAAAACTTTAATTAATACTTAATTAAGGGTAAATGTATAGAGTTTCCTGTAAAGGTATTAAGTACTTATTTAAAGTAACATATTAAAATGTTCCCTATCACAAGACTGGAATAAACTAAGTACAAAATATGCTAAGCTTCCTTAAGTAAGGTAGTAGCCAGATTGTTTGTTATGTTATTTCATACTTTTCAATAAAAATACTTATTTATTATCTCTTGGTTTTGTTTCAGACCCCCTTTTTACAACACAATTTTCCGTAAATGACAACCTAATTGAAATGTAAACTTTGTCATAGTAAATTAAATTTACATACATAGAACTTGTGATGCCAATCCGAGTAAAATTGTCTTGCTTTAACATTTTCCTGTTTAATTGCTGTAAAGCTTTCATTAAAAAGATGGAAATATACACTTTTGATTAAAACATTAGTTTCAACAGGTTTTTTTATTGTGTGGAGCTTAGTCTCCACAACCATTCAAATGTCCAGCCTAGTTATGACCAGATCACCAAAGTATGCATCAAAGTATGCCACAATTGATGTTTTAGCCAAGATGTTTAAGTTCTAAAAGTTTAATCTTTTAAACAGTAATCAAGAATCTATTGTCTTTTAAGAACAGCTGGCCCCTTATATTTATAACCACAGATAGTCATCTATACTAGAGAACCCGTGCGGCTCAATGAGCCGCATAGTATGAAACATAAATCCGAGGAAAACGTTATGCTTAAATTCGAGTAATTCTAGTTACATCTTAGAGATGTTTAAAAACTTGTTAGAAACTAATTTTAAATATCTCTATTTGCGTCTTAAAA